TCCAATTCCTTTCAATTAGACCCAAAACTTTCCATTCTCATTCTCATACCCATGTTTGATTTGTTTCACTTAAGGTCATTAACTTAAGGTGAAAGGAACCTCCCAAATTTAGGGTTTGGTATAGTGATTTTGGGACAGTGATTAGCGGTTTTATTTAAATTGCTGAGTATAGATATTTGGTAAACTTATATATTTCGAAATCGCTACAAACAAGATGTTTGGTAAAAATTTTTATTTAGTGATTTGAGGGGCAGTGAATAGTAATTAGGATCCAAATAGTTAGTAAATTGAAAAGTTAGTTTATGTAGTTTTTTATTTCGAATCATTGGTATATCGAAAATTTTTAATTTTATTGGTAAATTTATTCATTTTAATTTTTTAATTTTTATCATAGTTTTAAATTAATATTTATTTAATAAATTTCGATTTTATTTTTTTACCTTTAATATCATTAACTTGTTATAATATTTTTATTTTTTACATTAATTTATCATTAAAAAATATATTATCTTAAAAAACAAAATTTATTAATTAGACAAAATGATTAATTTTTTATTTAAAAATAATATAATTTTTTCTTTTTTAAAAATAAAAATGAAAGTATAATTATATTATTATAATTAATTTTATTTATTTATTTTCTTATTATTATTTTTATAAAATTAATAGTTTTAATAATAAAAAATAAAAAATAAAAAAATATACACTTAATTATTTTTAACCTGTTTTTATTAGTCATTTAACATTAAATAACAACTGTTAGTTATTATATAATCAAACAGTTATATTTATGAAATCTACTACTTATTATCTATTATTCACTTTTCATTATTCATTATCTGTTATCCACTAACTATCATCCCTTATCCATTACTATTATCTGTTATCTATTATTTATTATTTATTATCCATTATTTGTTTTAATCTTTATAATAAACAAGCTTTTAAAATATACAACCTTGTTTTATACAAAGGAGTAAGAGGAGTGCGTATGTCATTTTCTTTTAATCAAACTCTTAAATCTTGATTTTTACATAAATTTATTTTAAATGAATTATTTTACCTTATAATTTAGATGATTGACAATTTTAATTTTTTAATTACTTAAAACTTAACTTTTTAAATCTAATTCATAATTTTAAAATTTTAAGTTGAGGTGTGAACAGACAACGGTCTGGAAAAAGAAAAGAAAACGAAGACCGCCAAAAGCAGCCGCAAAAGAAGCTGAAAGACCACTAAGGAAGGTCAACGGGCTAAGGAGCACCGTCCGCTGGCTCTTGAGGGGCTTCCAAGCACAAAAAATGATAAAGCTTTGGGTAGTTTCTAGTAAGAAACAGGCGGATTTTAGAGTAGAGAGAGAAAAGAGACTGCTTACAAAAGATTATAATTGGAAGTTAATTAAGTACTAATAAATTGCTCGTTTCAATTTTACTTTATTCTGAATCTTGTCAACCAAGGAAAAGAAAGGCATAAGAAACCTTACCATGGGCTTGCTCCACGTTCCGCCCCTGGTTTTTTAACTATTAGGTTGACCATTATCTGTTTGAACTCGAAAGATTGTGGGAAAGGAAGGACGGCTATAAAAGAGGATTCCGACGTTACTCGCCGGCCACATAGAAGCATGCAAAGGGAGTAGGGCTGGATATGGTTCAATTTTGGTTGCAACTAAAATTGAATTGATGGTTAATTAAGATTTTATTTAATGTGATAATGATTTTGAGTTTTTAATTTTAATTTTTAAAAATATAAAAACCTTAAAATGAAATTAAAATTTTTTATAAATTAATTAAATTTATAGTTGCTGATATTTGTTTTAAAATTTTATACTTAATAAATTAGTAATTTTAATTTTTAATTGTACTTTTTAATTGTAATTATTTCTATTTTAAAAATTAAAATAAAAACTTAAAACAACAACTATATTAAATAAAGTCTAAATTTTCTGTTATTAATTTTTAGTAATCAATGATCATATACCAATATTATCATAATTTTGGAGTTTAGTTAAATTTTTGTAAAATAACCATTTGGTTAGGTTTTGGTTTAAAAAAAAAAAAAAACCCAAAAAGTTAAATTTAGCTAGTATTTGAAGTTGGAATGGGGATGGCAACAGGAGGGTAGAACCTAAAACAATTTGATAAAGCATTAAATTTAAAAAATAATATTTAAAAAGGCCCAAAATTTTGAAAATGAGTGCGAAAACCTAAAATTCATTAATTTTTTAATAAAAATTTCAAAAAATTCAGTTATACTCGCCGTAGTTTGGGTTTTTTTTTTTTAGACCCCAATAACAAAAACCCACCTAATTGAAAGTTGTCATAATCAAAATCTGGTAAAAAAAAATTTAAAACTCAGCCAAACTCAACTTATTGGTTATAATAACTCCATCTGTTTAATTTTAATAGGTTCAGTTTTTTTTTATCCAATAAAATAAACATGCAATGATTAATTGATAAAATTTTATATTTATTCTTAATTAATTAATACTTACAATAAGTTTTCTTTTTTAATATATGTTATAATTATCTTTCTAAAATAAGAGTACAAATTGCTATACCAAAATAGCCCCTTAAAATGATGCTCCTTCATTCAACTTTAATAGTCATACTTTAACTTTTTAATTTTTTTAAACAAGAATTTCATATAAAAATTTAACATATTATATAAAAGTAGTGATATAGAGAACAAAAATTTGGAACCAAAATTTGGAATTAATGATATGACATAATTCATGTTATTAAATAAATTGATGTATACAATATTACAGGTATTAATAAAATAAAAAGAATAAATCATTAAATAATATAGAATCTACTTTCCAATATTTTAAATGATGTGGCTCATATCATATCATTGATCTCAAATTTTGGTCCCATAAAATTTCTCCCTTTTATCATTATTCATTATATAAATAATAATTAAAAAAATTTAATCAAATAAAAATACTCAATAAGAATTACATATAAGAAAAAAAATTTCCAATTGTTATTTATATAAATTTTTATTTCCTCCTAATATATAGTTGCCCCAATTTGACTTTCACATAGAGTTTGATCTAATAATTTTCTATAATAAATGAATAATAATTAAAAAAAATTGATCTAATAATATGTTTGGATCGAGGGAGGGAAGAAATTCTTCTATTTGGTTACCAAAAAATTTAAAGGGAATGAAAAAGGAGGGGCGTCGTTTACATTATTTTTTCTTTTAATTTTTTCATTGATTTGAATGAAGGGAGAGGGATGAGAGGGAAATAGAAGAATATGACATTCTTCCATTCACTGCCCCTCCTCTTCCCTCAATTTCTCTCAAATCAAACATATTATAAGTAAAATACTTAGTAAGTATTTATATAAAAGAAAAATTTTCAATTATCATCTATTTATAGTATAAAATCATCTAGTTAGACATTATGCAAAAGTCAAACTAAAACAACTAGAACTACCAAAATTAAACAAAGGAGTATCCTAAAAATGAAAATTAATACAATAACCAAATTTGAATATCACATAATGTAAGGTTGTTCAGACCTTAGACCTTATCCATACTGATTAATCTAATCCAAACTAATCAAATTCAATCCTATCCATACTGATTAATCT